GACATAGCGAGGAGGCGTCAGTATTCACGGTCCAATCAGATAGGACGGAAAATCGATAATTATTGACGCTTTGTCAAGCCACGGCAAGGGACTTTGCGCTGCAGCTGCGCTGAGAGCCTAAGCGTTTTTGACTAATCGTGGGACTCTGCCGTCCCAACAAAAATAACATAAATAAATAAAATATTAAAATTCCTATGTACCCAGACTTTGTGGACACCCTGTATTTAAATAAATATTATGTTACCGCACAATAGTGAGTAACATAGTTGTTTTGCATGAAAAATGTTCGAGAAAGTGGAAAGTCAAATAGAAACCCCTTGTATGACCAAGGCCAACATAAAATAAATAAATCTCGTCGTTCTCCGTAGGTATGAGGAAAGTGCTCATATCTCTCTGCGACAGCACTATATATATATATATATATATATATATATAATTACTACGTATGACAGATATGGGGAAGTTGAGTCCTGTCAAGGCATCTGAAAATAATAAAATTTCGAATGTACTCCTAGACCATTCAGCTGACGAATTTTCAGAACCATTGTGCATCGTTCTTCGGAAATAAGTGTAGGCTGTTAACCTTCCTCATAAATGGAAATGAGCAAGTATAGGGGACGACCACCGCTATATCACACTAACTACCAGCCGGTTAGCCTGATATTCATTTGCTCTAAGCTGATTGAGGGGTATTGAAAAGTATTATAGCTTGACAATTTTCGCTGTCAACTCGGTTCAGCCCAACATGCTTTAGCAGGGGATAAATATAAGGCTGCACTTGGACATTTCTTTATAACCTTGCTACTGAAATAATTTTCAGTAAGCATAGTGGTAGATGGGAAACAAACTCAAAATGAGTCATTTTCACACCGGGCTGCGGACTAATGGCCAATGTTAGGAGATTAGGCAGGAGATCGGAGTTCAACCATTGCGCTTAGGATTTCAGGGTTAAGTCCTTTTTCCTTTCATCGAAGCTGGGTGTTAATTTTGCCTATTGTAGTTGGTTTTCAGAGTTATCAATTAAGGTTAGTTTTCAGTCTGGGGGTTTGGCGTTTAGTCGTTGGAATTTGCTTTGAAATAAGCATTGGGAAAATAAGTTTTAGTTTTTTCTTTGGTGTCCAGTGGTCTGCAGTGGGAGCTTGCTGGCCTCCCAGCCGTAAATTCTAAAACGAACAGTAATACAGCAGTTCAGTTTAGGAAAAGTAGTCTGCTAAAAACACACAATGCCCTTCCCTGCGAATTAACCGTTTGAAGAAACCAACACGCCCACTGAATAATGTGTCAGTAGCAATAGCACACACATAAATTTTCAGATACAGTCGCAGTGCACACCTACTTTTATGTGACTCACTTAGTTATTTTAGCATGCAGTTTTAAATAGCTCACTTTTTTCTTTTTTGTGCTATTTCGCCCCTCATACTACTATCCAAACAACCCATCCTCGAAACCGCTAATACTACGGTTGATTGAGTCGAACATTTGACGTACGAACAGCTATAGAAAGCCTTCGCCTCTGGCAGCTGCACTATGGACATTACGAGATGTCACTGTAATACACTTCCAGATACTAGATGTACATGATCTTGACGTGGACCGGGAATATTTTTCGAAATTTCGTCAACGAAGGATCTCGGATTATACACTTTTGTTAGCGGGCTTTTTAAGTTGAGCCGTCACTTTTTCGCTCTCCACTCGCATGCATATATCGATCGCATATGGTGCCAACTATTAACTGATTTGTAACCTTCTTTGTTTATTCGAACTACAGAAATGAGGTCACTAGCCTACAATGCCCTTTGAGAGGAAGTCTAACTTTGCCTATATTTTGCGACTCATTCAAGAAGATTCGTTATGATGTTGGAAACTGGGGTGTTTGGTCATTATGCTGTATTTGTGATACCCCGATGTTTGTGTGCCTAATTTGGTTCATGGTGAATGTAGGACGTTGCTACTGATCTTTTTGCAATGATATTTTAATAATAAACTGCATCTCTCCCCCTTTCGCAGAGTCAATTCTAGACAGTACCAGTGACCCCAAGTTTTATCACAGCAATTCCCTACTCACTGGAAAGCTTGGTTGAAGCATATCAGGCACTCTTCTACTGTGAGTACTTTTAAGAGACCTATGAATCTTCACTTGTTAATCATCAACCGGTTATCCCTTAAGCGCACCGATTAAGACGTCGTTACGACTAGAAAAATACTAATAACTCAAGGCAAATAAAGTTTTTTTCACTTGGAATTTAGCCTTCTACAACAGACTGGATTAATCTGAGGACCGAACAAATAGGGAATTATGCTGATGACCTTGATTGTATGTCCTTCTGGCAAACGGTGAATAAAGTTAAAACCGAATTGTCTTTGAAATTCCACACAATATTGAACTTGAATTAACTGAGCCGAAACCTGTATGCTTAACATTTTTATGCCTACGTAGATGAGGAACAGGAATGAAGACCGGTGTATGAAGAAAATTAATTTAGATTGGATTTGGGAGGATGATGAAGCAAACGTCGTCAGGTCTTTAACGATAATGGGCTGGCTGTCTGTGGAAATGTCTAGCTAGTGTGTGTCAAAAAGTGAGTTACAAGCAGAGATTCCTCAAGCTGTCTAAATAGGTTAGGAATTGGAAATTATGGAAACCTGACGTTTTCATATTATTGCTCATAAAATAAGCCAAAATTTATCCAATTTATAACTACCTATTTAGAGAGAAGAAGAAGATTTGATGGAATCTTCTACTTTTCAATTACTTTCTGGGACTCGCACGTTCACTTGTATTGGCTACGCGTTTAGCTATCACAGCATACTGTGCGGTAATGTGGACAAACTATTTACAAAAGAACATACTACGGGGTACAAAATATTCGAAAGGCCGAAGGGTTTTTATTTATCATGCTGTAAATTTCTAAAAATAAGATGATGAGTATAACTTGATAAATATTAATTTTCTTTGGAAATCAAACGAGAATAAAAACTATATCTTGTCATTGGCGGAATAATTTGAACTACATCCACTCTTAGTCAACATTTTAAACACCGCGTGAAGAAAAAGCAAAACTCTAGGTCTCTTGTACTTTTCTAAGGATGAGCTATGGATAGAAATCTCCTTCAGACGCTTATTTAGGTTGTGAATCGGAAAGCCGGGGGATAGTAGATTTTCATAAAGTTCTCGTGAAAAAAAACGAAACTAAATATCTCTATATATCTGGTATCTGTAGAATTTACATAGCCAAATTTTTTTACAGAGGTACTGATGTGTGACCCGAAATATTTGAAAGGATCTTTGATTTTAATCTTTTATGATCAACAGTTCTGAACTTTATTTAGATCACTATAGTATGAGGCACCTTATATTTTAATGTAACTTGCAGCCGAAATTGTAAAAGAAACACCTGACAAAGAAGTAAATGTAAAAAAGAGTTGGACAGCTTAAGGAGTAACTACTATGATGTATAGTCCCTAAGCCATATTCAGTGTTTTTATTCATTGACTTTGTTAAACTGATTAAAGGAGATACAATAACGAAAAAATGGCATCGGTTAGATCTCCCCTGAACCGTATTGTTACAAATATACCCCGGCTACCAACATGGCATAAATAAGGCATTTTTGCTTTAAGTTGCATACAAGCGCAGTGAATACATTTTTGCTGTTATAAGGCCATCAATACGACACCTTTTAACACTAACATTTCTATATCTGCACTTTGCGTAGTAAAATATCATATGACTGCTTTTAAATCAACTGCATTTTCAGCTGGAGTGTATCGCTAATCTAGAGTATTTAAGGGGTTTCTAAAGTTACTCCAATTGCACAGATTGGTCGACACTACTTCTAAAGAAGCTAACCTAGGCAATACTTATGACACTTTGTTGAAAAATCTTACCATCTAGAATATACTTTACACCATAAAAACAATCACATCAGGACCTCGCTCATTAGCTACATTGTGTCTGCACGAAACACAGATAGTTACAAAAGCAGGTTGGGAACTAACCACTTTCTCCCGCGAAGGCGAGAAGAGATACGGTCAACAGACCGAAGAGTTGGACCCACATGATAACAAACGACGCTCGAAGTTGCTTCCTGGGCGTTACTTATATATGTATCCTAGTAACTTTTTCTAGGTCGTTTTTAGAACCAAATGTCATTAGGATTGGAGTCATTAGAATTATAGACAGTTCGGCAATTTGATTGAATAGACCGACAACTTTTTAATTATGGAAATGGTTGCCGATGCAGGGTTTTATGACTTCCTTTGACTACGTTCTCATTAAGGATTTATTGAGTCCATGGATAAGAGAGTGTGCTAACCACCCCGCCCCACCTGCGCGTGCCTATGGACATTTATTGTTTGCGCTTTTTGCGAATAATGGCCAGAGCCCTAATGTGGAAATGTCATGTGAACCTGATTGGGTGGAAAAGTAATTAACTTATGTCACCGAGACGTACTTCGTGCATTATTGCACAACGCATGTAATATTTCAGTTGGAAGCGTGCAATATGCAAAATGTCCAAAAAGTTGGTCACCGAAGTTAATAAAATAAGAGCTCGCCAACTTAAGGATATACGGATACGATGTTTTAGCCTAAGTTAATGCCTCTTGTTTCGAACGGGGGGAGGGTTCGATCGTGCGAACAAGATTTTTATAAACTTTAATGATGCAAACTGACATCCGTGATCAGAAACATAATCAGATGGGTGCACTGATTTGTATAAGACCTGGAGTATTTATAGAGTAAGATTTTTAGGCCACCGTAGGTCGATTCTAATTGTCTGCCCAATTGTCCCCAGTTCAAAATTTGCCCATTCTGTTCAGAACCCTTAATTACCCTCCAGCCCACACGAGACCGCTAAATGTGTCCGGACAAGGTCACATCAGAGAAGAGGTACTGGGCTGGTCATTTAGATTCTAAAGAAGGGAAAACCCTGAACTGAGTACTTTTTGATTCAAGCAAGGGTAGCCCCACTGCAGCAAAGGTGGCCAAAACCGTACCTAAAGACTCCCAACAGGAGGGTGATCATGGTGTAGT